CAGCCTAAGAATTGGCAAGGCTGCTTAGACTAATGGATGGGGGCAAGAAGAAAAAGAGCCACGCCACGAATGTGAACGAGGGCCCACAGCTAGTCTAACTGCAGTGCCGTGTCTAGCTGCAGCCCTGGGCTCAGTCTTAGGACTCTGGAATACTCTTGCTTACGGGCCAGGATCTTAGATTCAAATATTAGAAGGATCGAGGCAATCACAGGCTGAGCTTTGGGTCTTCTCCCAGCCTCAGCCTCTCAGCCCACCTTAGCCAAACATTATAGACAGGTCACTAGAGCATTCTGACTAATGGCCTTTATCCTGTACCTGCTTAGAAGACTAAACTGCCCATTCAACCACCTTTTTTTTTTTTTATTCATCTGTGATATAATTACAGAGAGCTTGTGCGTACCAGGCACTGTCCTAGGCTCTAGGGATGCAGTGATTAGTGTAACAATCTCTGCCTCTGTGGAATTCAGAGGCTTGTGGAGAAGACAAAGATCAATCAAATAACCCCCACCTCAAACGCAAGCTCATGATGGTTAATCGGTTATTAAATAGATGCTCAGGACCAGAAATTCTGCAAAAATGGAATGCCAAGACAGCTTAAATCTACATGTCCTGGGGAAACTGCAGCTCAGAAAGGGAACAACTTTCTCAGACACTATGTACAAAATCACAAAGCTGGGAGTCCAGTCCAGCACCTTCTGGTGCAAAAAGCCCATACATTTGGTAATTTTTTCATATCTCTCTTGACAACTTGTAGATCTTAATTCTTTTCCAGTTTATTCCCTTTCTCCTTCAAGGTGTGGATTGGGCTTGTGGAGGTCTTACCTTCTCATAGAGTCTTTGACTTGAAATACTACAGCACCTAACATGTGAAATTCACTAAGCCCAGGCAGCTGGTTAGGGATAAGTTTTAACACGGAGAATCCACAAGAATTTGTTACCTATAAGATACCTGAAGACAACATTCTGCAGACATCGCCAAATGTTCTGTATTATTAATGTGGCAATGGCGCCCCCTGGTGACCATTTCTGTGTATTACATGTCTCTTATCTAGGGAGGGGCAGGTTTGGGATGTAATGGAGACCTCACTTCTATTCCAAGGCTTGATGAAGAATAAATGCTCCTTAGTCTTCACGACCTTTTGTTCCTCATCCCCCTAACATGCCCCATTCATATCAGCCCCAGAGACAAGGTCATGGGTCTGGTGTGTAGAATCTTCCCACAGCTCAGAGGTCCGGCCACCAGGACACAACGTGCCTGTGACAGGCTGAGGTTGCACGGTGTGAGCCATCTGCTCCCAGTCTCCAGGATCGCACACTTGTCAGGTCACAGCAGACGAATCCATCATCTCCTGCAGTCATGCTTCTTTCTCTTCTGAAGATTGTGGCTACAGATGGCCCCACCTACACGGGCAGGCCCTGGGCCACGGCTGTAAGAATCGGGAAACGCTGCGTTCGTTTTGAGCTGGGTACCGCGCTAAGGGCTACGTGTGCTCCAGCAGAGGAGACAGAGGCCAATTAGCCTATCAATGATTCACCTTCAGTTACAATAATTGCTACAAGAACGCAGCTCTGAGCACCTGCACCAAGGAGACAACACCAGGTGTGGCGGTCAGAAAGTCTCCTGGAGTCTCTGAGGAAAGCCAGTGAGTGGTATGCCAAAATGGGAGAGGACACTAGCCGGCGTGATCCGGAAGCTTAGACACCACACCTAGGACTGAGGTGGCCCGACCGGGCTTCTGCTGGGCTCAAGGTGAGTGATCAACGTGGGGTCAACTAGTACGGATGGATGCTGGCATGGAGAAGGATGGGGAGCTGCCATTCATTTAACCACTGAGAACGACTGAGCTGATGTTAAAGGACAAGCGTAACTGGAAACCAGCAGTTAGCGTAATGGCTATGTCGCTGGACTCCCACGTAGTCGACCGCAGTTCGAGTCCCGGACCCGGTGGCTTAAAACTCACACCGGGCGCGTATGCGTGTGTGCCCAAGATCCCGAGAGGAGAATGGAGGAGAAGGGATTGTGGCGTGACAATCCCCCCGGGGGGTGATTTCTCACTTTCTGTCTCTCTGTCTCTCTCTCTGTCTGTCTGGCGAGTGCACACGCCCTATAGCGAAAACCTCTCCAAAGAAAAAAAAAAAAGAAGGACAAGTGTAACTTAACCCCTGAATACTTAAAGGCTAATTTAGAGTCTCTTGAGTAGGAGTGTGGGGTAAAGAGCCTCCCGGACTTCCACCTATTCTGCGTCTTTCCAAGAGCCAAGGATGTTGCAGAATTTATTCTGTATGTCACTTCTATTGCTTATGTAGGATGAAGAAATAATAACAGCAGATAGAATTGCTGGGGTTGGAGGCAGGAGTTGAGCTAATAATAGGCCAAAAGTGAATCAAAGTGAAGATAGTGGTGGCAGCTGGGGGGTTCTAATGGAGAATTGTAGCTATAAAAAAATTGAGATATAAAGCCCTGCCTACGTACGTACAATGCCTGCTAGCTCTCAGGATATAGTGTACCTTAGATTAAACACTTCATATATATATGGGGGGGTGGGGGTGTGGGGGTGTATTTTTTTTAAACTGCCAGAGAGTACATGTACTTGCCAGAGAGAAAGCGAGAAAGCACCCCACAATAGGCCATGGTCACACCACAATCCTTTTCCTCCATTCCTCCTTCCTGTCAGCACTATAGGCACACACACTCATGCTCAACGTGTTCTCCAAGTCTCCAGGATGGGATTTGAACCAGGGTCAGCCACATGGAACCTGGCTCCCTTTACTACTGCTCTATGGGACCAGCTCCAAACATACAAAGTCTAGATTCGGGATACCTATATTTGAATCATACAGTTTTTGCCTCTAGGTACATAAGTAGATGAAAACTCCTTTTGTGCTTCTGTCCCTGCGTCTGCAAAAAAGCTGTAATAGTACTTCCTGCTTTTTAGACTGCTATGAAGCCGTGTGTGTAGGGTACCTAGCTTCATGCCCCACATTCCAATCACTCAATCATTATTATCAACACTTTCATACTTGGTAAGAAAGCCACACACATTTTAGAGACTTAATAGAGACTTTTTATTCTTCACACTTTTTTGTTTTCTAATATGCAAATGGCTATGCCTGCACAGTAAAATCAGAAGAGGAAAATAACACAAAAATTTAAATAGAAATATTGATGTGGAAAATACTGGCGGTGCAGGGGTAATTAGGCCCAGCACCCACAGTGGGACGTGGGTTCTCGTCCGCAGGTCATGAAGAATGAGATGCAGATAGTAAGCAAGTGGAGTTTATTAAGAGAAAGAAGGTAGAGCAGATCTCTCAAGCAGAGAGCAGCTCAGAGTGGGCTCCCCACGAAGAACTAGGGGGAGGCGGTTATTTGGATCAGAGGGGCTTTGTCTGTGCTTCTTCCCAGGTGGGGCATGCATTTTCCTCCTGGAGGAACAGGGGCAGCCACATGCTGGATGGATCCAGGTATTCTTCCTAACTTTGGAGCAGGTATGAAGACCAGGAGACCCTCTTTGCTTTGGACCGTAAAAGACCATGACCTTCTTCCTGGAATGTGGTGGGATCAGGAAAAAAGTCTTGCATTTGTTGGGTAGGGGGTGAGATTGTCTTTTGGCCTCAAGCATGGTTTTCTTGAGTGAACCAACTTTTTTAGCTATACTTTTCCATGCATTTAAGCTAATTGGCCTATAATTTCCATCAGGTCTGGGCACTTAAAATTCCAAACTTAAGAGTTGTCCTGTCTCAAGTCCTTGTCTCTTAACTATTTTGTTTGTCTGCCTCAAAAGTACTTGGGCCAGAGGGAAACAGCAGGAAGGAAAGTTGTTTTCCCTTAAGGTTATAATGGTCAGCTGCCTGATTTAGGGGTCTCCCTGAGTCTCAGTCGGTACTCCATCTTGACTCCCCTGTTCTCCCTAAATGCCTAGCTTGAATGGCCTCTTCCTTAATATGACTAGCCCAGTTTTAAACATTTCCCGGTTATGTTCATGGAGAAGGCGGGAGTGCATGTTAAAAGCACAGGTTCCTAGGCTCTGACCCAGAAACACTGAGTTACAATCTTTAAGGGACAAGCCTTTCACTCCGTATCTTTAATCAGCTCCGCACAGAACTCCTACAATCACTGCTGAGACACGCTGATTGGGTGCGCGGGCTGCAATGACTGGGCGGACAAGGCCAGTCGGTTGCAGCAATCTCGAGAGCCTGAGCCTACAATTCCCATAGTGCTCCGCGAATGGCGCCAAGCGAGCCCGCGGCCTCTCGGGAGTTGTGGTTTTTACGGCCAGACCCCCGCATATAAGAAAGCCAGAGATGGCTGCCGAAAACTTCCCGCCCCACAATGCAAAGGCATGCTGTGACGTCATGTGCAGCGCGCCGGGAATTTCGCGGGCGGTTTCTGCCGTCTGTCCCACC